TCCCCACCACTACCACCACCACCATCATCCCCCCCTTACCACCACCCTCCCCCTCTTGGTTGAACTCATGAGCTTGCTGCCTCTGTTAGCTCTCTGTGTTTCCATGGCGACATGCTCCCTCTTTCTGTCTGCCTGCATGCTTGGTTCCCTGTGAGATGCACACATGTACTGTCTAAGTCTGAGATAGTCGTTGGTTGTCATGGTTACCGTAAGCTGCTATTGGTTTTCATGGTTACCGTAAGCTGAGATAGTCGTTGGTTGTCGTGGTTACCGTAAGCTGAGATAGTCGTTGGTTGTCATGGTTACTGCCGTAAGCTGCCACCATTGGTTGGTTGCTGTCAGTAAAAGTTGCTTTGGTTGCTGTCAGTTGTGATTTGGTTGAGTCATTGCTCAGGGTGTAAACAGTGAGCTCTCCAACAGATATGATACACTTGTCAGATGGCAGTAAAATTAATAGGAGTATGACTGTAAGTATGAGTTCCACATTATGTGTGATTCTGTACTAGGTGATTCCACTTGTTATTATTCTCAGCTTAATTAAGGCTTAATGTTTGGAACACATGAAAGAGTAGCACTAACCAAGGTCTGGTCTCGTCTTCTATGATGTCCTTTCATAGGGTAGTAGTGTATAATGTGAAGAGTTCGAAAACCCATGTTTAGTCGGATGCGATGCCGACCATAATATGATCAGTCACATCCCAGAAGAATGTCTGGACTTTGGAGATACCAATAGGAAATATTTTAAGTACACTGATTTAAAGAATTAGTTTTACATCGTTGATACTTAACAGATTTCTTGATTTTATGAAGAATATTGGTGTTTACAGTGAAAAGGTAAATAATTCGCATTGTTAGATACCCCAGCTGTTCTTGTCGAAGCAGACTTTGTGCTGTTGAGGCTAGAGAGGTGAGCAGAGGAAGCCTGATTCCCCGTTTGGACTTCTCTGTTGACATCCACCCCTTGGCGCTCAGAATATGACCTTATGCAGTTGCGAGCGCCGTAAAACCCTACTAAAAATAAAGCAAAGTAATCCTAAGCGATGATAGGAATTAACGTGAAAACAACCAGCTTTATTCATACTTACATATGACCAGTCAAATGCCTACTAAAAAAAAAAAAACTCTGTCAGTCGTCACTTTTCACAATGGCATATTGCGTAGTCTTACTGTAAACAGTTGATATACAGATACGAGTGCTGTAAAACTTACCGAACTGAATGAAAGATTCATGGGTTACGTTACACAGTTTATACCTCGTGTATTTTTATATCGTCTCATTTACCCAACATTAAATTGGGTCGATAGTGCCGTAAAACACCTACTCAATCATTAAAAAACCCAATTTTAGCCACGGGTGTGAATGAAAATGACCGAGCAGGTTGTTGTATGACCTTGACCTCGACCTTGACCTCTTCACTGACCTTTGTGGATCTCCGCACCGCACAGTGTTTTGCATGATGCTTCCAAGGACATTTATTCACACCGTCTCTCATACTCATCATGTTGCGCTCTTCCCTACATCCACCTTTTTTTGGAACTAGGGTTGGAGGGGGGTGGG